ACCCACTCCAGTGTTCTTGCCTGGAGAATCCCAGGGACAGGGGAGCCTGGTGGGCTGCCGTCTATGGGGTCGCACAGAGTCGGACACGACCGAAGCAACTTAGCAGCAGCAGCAGCAGTAGCTGTATTATTTATTACAACTGCATGTGAATCTATAATTACTTTGAAATAACAAGCTTAATTTTAAAAGTGAGTTATAAATATTTTTAAAACCACAACAAACAAAATGAAAGTATAGAAACTGAGGGCTCCAAGGGCTTTTAGTGTTTTTCTTCTAATCCAAAATACCATATACCAGACAAAACTTATTTACTCATTTTAATTTAAATTAATAGTTTCACTTATAAATACATTAGGATATGTGATTATATGAAGAAAATTCACTCAAGAGGCTGTTTAGTCCCAGTTTACTTGATTCATGACTTGTAAGATATTTATCCAGGGTTTCTAGTCCTATAGAAATGGACTAAAATAGCCTTGTATAGCTGTGAAGGTGCTGTCAGAGTGAGCTGAGGTCTAGCTCTATTTAACAAAGTGGTCTGGCAGAAAGTGAGGCTATTTCTTTCATGAAACCTCATATTTTATGAGTGATTTGCTTTGAGGAGAACCCTAGCTTCCTTCTGTGGAATGTGGACACATATCCTCCTAGTTTCTAACACAAGGACTGACACACGGTAGATCTTCAGTAAATGTTGATTTGGCACTAACAGTTCTTACTTTACCTACTACGTTTGTTTATTGTCTTATCAACTGCAGAAGTTTGTAGCAGGCCACCGGATGAAGAGATGAAGGACCAGAGGGACCATCAAAAACATGTTGGTGATAAAACTCCTCAGGACCCAACTAAGAGGGTGAGAGATATCTCACAGGCCTTATCTGTAATTCTGTGCCTGTTGGTGAAGCCATTTACCAGGAAATCCACCAAAGGTACCTCTATAGGTTTTATTTCTAAAGACCTCAAATTCTTACAGATATTTTTCTAACATACTATGCTAGATTCTGGCTTCCGAGGTGGCATCAGTGGTAAAGAACCCATCTGTCAATGCAGGAAACGTAATGAGACGCAGATTCGTCCCTGGGTCAGAAAGATCCCCTGGAGAAGGAAGTGGTCACCCACTCCAGTTTTCTTGCCTGGAAAATCTCATGGACAGAGGAGCCTGGCAGGCTACAGTCCATGGGGTTGCAAAGAGTCGAACACAACTGAAGTGACTTAGCATGTACACATGCATGCTACATTCTGTCACTGGCCACCCTCCTCTGATGAGATGGATGTCTTTGATGGCAAAGACTTAACCATATCACTGAATGTTCTTTATCCAACATTTCTCCTGAATTCTGTTGCCAGTATAGGAAATTGGAGACAGCAGAATCAGAGCCACAGAAGCTGGAAGGGAGGCTGAAAAGGCATGTAATTACCTTCCTCGAGTTTTAGGTAGAACACGGGCATCCAGAGTTCTGTATTACCGTGATAGAGACAAGATGTAAATTTCTACATTTCAACCTGCTATTTTCCCTCACTTATACTTCCCCCTCAACATTTGATGTCTCATTTCAGGAGAAGAAAGACTGCACCATGCTTTCATGTATGACTTATACGAGAAATATTAGATCACAAGTCCCTGGAAGGTAAAAATTCTGCTTTTTTATACATTATGTGTACCATCTAGCTCAGTGCTGTGTGTAGTCATTTAATATGCTCAGTTTTTGAACTGATAACTTGAGCGTTCATCCCTTCTTTCTTAACATGAGTGCTGGTTAATTTTCTTGAGGCTGAGGGCTTATGTGGCACCTGCATCTCTCAGAAGGGAGTGGTCCATGGAGGCAGACAGTTCCTCTGTGTCAGGACTGCCAGGCTGCTGTCAGATGAGCTCCAGCCTGTGCTCTGGGTATGTTTTTTTTCTCACTGTCTGCTAACCCAGGGGCCACCTGTCCTCAAAACCAAGGAGTAGCCCTGAAATGCAGCAGAAAGACACCCTCTTCTTTGTGTTAGTTGCTCAGTTGTGTCTGACTCTTTGCAACCCCATGGCCTGTAGCCTACCTGGCTCATCTGTCCATGGAAATTTTAGGCAAAAATACTGATGTGGGTAGCCATTTCCTTCTCTACAGGATCTTCCTGACCCAGGGATTGAACCTGGGTCTCCTGCATTGCAGGCAGATTCTTCCCACCAGGGAAGGCCACCCTTCTCCTTACAGCCCACTGTTTAACACATTGATTCGGGTCTCAACCAACTTGTAATGTGTGTCACTCACTCAGCTGTGTCTGACTCTTTGCAGCCCCATGGACTGTAGCCCGCTATGCTCCTCTGTCCGTGGGAATTTCCCAAGCAAGAATACTGGAGTGAGTTGCCATTTCCTACTCCAGCAGATCCCAACCCAACTTGTAGTATAGTAACTAGAAAAAACAAATGTGGACATGAGTGTAACGATATTTTTCTTTTTCTTTCTTTTTTGTTTTTCTTTTTGCTTTTTGGCAAGGAGATCCAACCAGTCCATCCTAAAGGAGATAAGTCCTGGGTGTTCATTGGAAGGACTGATGCTGAAGCTGAAACTCCAATACTTTGGCCACCTCATGCGAAGAATTGACTCATTGGAAAAGACCCTGATGCTTGGAGGGATTGGGGGCAGGAGGAGAAGCGGACGACAGAGGATGAGATGGCTGGATGGCATCACCTACTCAATGGGCATGAGTTTGAGTAAACTCCAGGAGTTTGTGATGGACAGGGAGGCCTGGTGTGCTGCGATTCATGGGGTCGCAAAGAGTCAGACACGACTGAGTGACTGAACTGAACTGAACTGAATTGAACTTCACTTGCTTAACTTGCAATGTAGTAACAAGCAAAAACAGAAAAAAATAGTCACACTCACATCCACATTTTACAAATGTGCTAAGGAAAGAGGTTCAATCTGATTTCTTCTTAGGCATCCAACTGAGAGCCTTTCAGGTATTTTGACATCTACTGATACAATTGCTAATTATCTACTTTTGTTTGAGTCATTTTTTAATTCCCTCAAAGCTGTCAGATCAGGCAACTTCTTTGAGACTCTGAAACATATTATCATCCAGGTGTGCACAACACCTGAGTTCAAAAGGAGGTCACTGTCCTCGTGAAAACAAATGTGTGAATAGTTTCTGAATCAAAATCTCATACTGCTTTCCAGGTACCAGGAAGGAAAGAAGAAACCTGAAGGAAGAAACTTGAAGATGATTCATAGTAATCAGTTTTAGATTCTGAAAGGCCAGTTGTGGCTATCTCTATTGGAGGGCTGAGCCTCTTAACTCCCTCTAACTGGGAGCATGAATTCAGAGATGTAGGCAAACACAAGTGTGAAATGATAATTATGCTGATGATTGCCATAAGGCCAGCCTTGTTACACACATAGCCAAAAATGCCAGAGAACAAATCTCTTAGCCCAAGAAAAACATTACAATTAGAAGCAGCTCATTGGTTGGGACGGAGAAGGCAATGGCACCCCATTCCAGTACTCTTGCCTGGAAAATCCCGGGGATGGGGGAGCCTGGTGGGCTACCATCTATGGGGTTGCACAGAGTTGGACATGACTGAAGTGACTTAGCAGCAGCATTTGTTGGGAAATATATTATCCTGTCACAAAACCCAAGTTCTGTCCTCATCCCCAAACCCTGGTGGGTCACCCAGCCACTGTGTCTGCTTCCTCCCTGAAAGTTGATCAAGGGAAGGTGAGCATCAGTATTTTGCCTCATAAGCCAGTCAGGGTCAATGGATTTCCTTTTCTACTTGAAAAGCAATCTGTTCCATCTTTTAATTTCTAAAGCTATTGTTGCTAAAGAGAGAAGTATAGTCATCCCTTGATGTCCTCAGGTAGGGGCAGTTTCCAGGACCCACCATGGACAACCACCATCACTGGATGTTCAAGCCCCATAGTCCACCTCCATGGTTCCACAATCAAGGATTCAAGCAACCATGCATTGCATAGTACTGTACTTACTACTGGGGGAAAAAAAAATCTGCCTATAAGTGAACACGTACAATTCAAACCTGTGTTGTTCAAAGATAAACAGTATGTATATGGAAAAGAGCTCCATCTGGGACCATAGTTCAGAGTTTACAGTCATGAATGATTGCAAGATGTTCATCTTCCAAGTTCCTGGATGATGGTGAGCTGGTATAAGGGGAAGATGAGATCAGTGAGTTGGTGCCTGAACAGAAAATCTCAAGGAAGCGAGACTCCCCTTTGTGAAGGCTCTGTGACCAGAGTTGCCTGGAACCTGGGATGGTAGTTGGTTTTACAGTTAGATTCTTTGATGTGGTAAATAACTGTTTCTTTGAAACAGCTATAGTGCATTCCATTTTTAAAGAGGAATATGTAGAAGGCACGGCAAGTCCATACCCATCCTTACTCACCAGAGGTAACATTAAGCTGAATGTTTCTGCAACCCCTCTGGGTATTACTCCTTTGACTTCTGCACAGGGCTAAACAAGTAAGAACAAAATTTCCAAAGAAAGTTGGTGCACACACAAATCTCCTCTATGATATGTCAGAAAGGAGAGAAATCAAGTAGAATCATGCAAAAGCAGTCTAATTTTTTATTTCTGCAGATTTGTTTTTTATTGAACTATAATTTACTAATGAACTGGTATATAAGTCACAAGTGCATAAGTGCATTTTAACAAATGCACACACTGATACATCACTGAGTTACTCACTATTTTTAAGTCCTCAGATTTCTAAAAATATCAATAAGCTAATCTTATTTCTCCCTTGTTTTCAAGTAAACTTGTAATTTCTTTTCTTGTAAAGTTGGGGAAGTTGATAAGCAGAGAAGGTTAAAAACTTTCTTCTCCTTAGGCCAAAGTGTTTGATGAGTTTGAGCTAGGTAAGAATCCATTCTTCTGAAAGAAATAAGATCTCTGGGTGAATTTTCTTTAATTTTTGCTATTATGGAAATCTTGAAGCAACTCATTGAAAAAATATTCTTTCTAATTTGTAATTGTGTTTCCAATAGTCTTTATTGGACCCATTTCCTCCCACCATCCTATTAAGGAAATAAACAAAAAAGAGAACCTTAAAAAGAAGTTTGAAGGACTTCAAATGCTACAGATTTCACAAATAAATATTTTTAATTTGTCATTTTTATTCAAGATGGTACTGAATTTTAGACAGTGCTTTCAAAATCCTAAAACATCAGATTTCCTTGAAGAATCTACTGAAAATGTAGCCCTCACCTCATGCCAGTTCAACCAGAATCTCCAAGAATCTACATTACAAAAATTGTTCTGAAGACAGGAGTCCTGGAACACAGTTTGAGAAATCCAGATTTAAGGGAACTCAGGAAAAACGTATAATGACTAACCACTATGCCTAAAACTATGCAGAAATGTTCGTTTTTTTTCCTCTTAAATTATATCAGCATCCCTCTGATGGGCAAATTCTGGGCTGGGTCAGTTCTATAGTTCACAGATGAGTTTGCACTCCCCAAAGAGTATCATGGTTATCTGGTTAACTGTGTAGCCAGATATACTAGGCATAAGTCCGGATTTTTGATACTTACTAGCTATGTCACCTTGCCCTCTTTATGACTCAGGTTTGTCATCTGTTATAATGGGAGTGACCTTTTTGGAATTTGCTGGTAACTTTTCTAAAGGCCTTCAGGATTAGGGATGATTGTGCCTACCTTGTGCTTTTGTTGTGAAGATTAGACATATTAACACAGTTCATCCTCACAATTTGAGAATATTCCAACTTGCTAAATTCATTTGTAACCCCCAAAATCAATACTCAGGGCACTTTTGTGGTCATTCTGGCACATGTGATAAAGAATTTTAGTCCTCCCCATGTCATGTTCCCAGGTGGTATGGAGCAAGACAATGCTCTGCCTTCTTGTTTCACCTTCAGACTGTTAAACAAGTGTTCTTTTTGAAGTCTACTTAGGGTTAAGTTTTTTGCATTTTTGTGCTTTTTTATTAATAATTCTGTTGCACATAGTGGCCCCTAAGCAAAGTGCTGAAAAGTGCTGACTGGTGTTTGTAGTTGCAGAAAGCTGTGGAAGGATCGTTCAGAGAAAATACATGTGTTAGATAAGCTTTGTCCAGGCACGTGTGAGTGTGCTGTTGGCTGTGAGTTCAATGTTAATGAGTCCACAATATCTATTAAACAAGGTGTCTTTAAACAGAAACTCAGATAAAACAAGTTATATACTGATCAGTTGATGAAAATGTTGCGGCTTGAAGGAACGTAACCCTGACTTTCCTCTGGGAATATGGGTACAGTATTCTCTAATTCAGTGTCCACTGTGACTTTAAACACCACAGTTACTGCAAAAATGAGAATAGATTGCATATGTAAAGGAGTCAAGCACACCTGGCACACGCAAAAATAAGGCAACATGGCAGAGACCCTTCAGAAATGCATCCTGCAAGGTATACACTCAGGTGTAGAGAGACACAACTTAGCAACTAGACAACAACAATGTAGAGAGACACAATTAAAAGGAATACAGGCTGTAGGAGCAACGAAGGCTGTGGAAGCGTCTTTGATCCAAAATGACCTGGTAGAACACTTCATCCAACAAAATTTCCACTGAAGCCAGTGCCTCAGGTTTTAACTGGAGCTTCCATGGGAACTGTGCCGATTTCCTGCCTTAAGAGAACTGAATGAAGCAGAGGAAGTTCAGCGAGGAAGTAGAAAAAAAGCAATTTTCTTATTGTCCTACATAATTCTGTAAATAAGACCTATCTTTATCTGAAAACTCATCGAAATACTCAGGCTATCTCTGGGGCTTATTTGAGTGATAACATTTTATACTATACATCCATCCATATACAGACATCTTGTATAGCACTTGCCATTTATAATGTATTTTATGTTATAGTGAAAGCATCTAAATCTCAATTATTTGATAAACCTGAAACAATTGTTCTTTAAAAGACCTGTGCACAAATATACATACCAAAAAGAATTGCAGCTTGTAATTCTATGGCTGAATTAGCACTGAGTTTAATATTTAAATTGTGAATGAACCCTAAAATAAAAACCATATTGCTAAATAATCTTTAAAAAAGCAAAATATAAAGCACATCTGGCACAGAGTTACTGCTACAGAGATGTTTGTGAAATAAAGAAATCTCTGTCTAAGTTTACAGAGAAGCCAGATTCCAACTTCAGAGAGGCTCTATGAGGGAGAGGTATGAAGTAGGTCAACCAGGTGCTGGCAAAGTCTTCCCAAAGAAAGTCAGGGGTCAGGATAAAGGGATTTTTAATGGATCAAGGCATGTTTGGTGATGGAACTCCCCCAGCCACAAGGCCCATTACAAGCGCCAGTGCTGCTGTGGGAAGCAGTGCTGTCCAGTGGTCTGATGCCTGGTGGAGTTGAGCATCAGAATCACCGGGAGGGCCTCCAAACATCTGCAGAGGCAGATTCCCCAGCCTCAGCTCAGAATTTCTGAATCAGAGTTTCTGGGGGTGAGAGTGGACATGTGTTGACTTAAGCAGCTCCTCAAACCAGTCTAATATTTAGGAGTCACTCAGGTGAACTGCTCCCTTGGACTAGGATAGGCTTGGGTTCGAATCCAGATACATGGTCTTGGGGAGTGATTGAAATCAGTGAGCCTGTGTTTCTTCACCTCTAAGATATCTTAAATATCTTAGATGATGCTATACCTTAAAGCATCATTGCTGAAGATAAGCCAGAGAATACACATAAATTTCCAGATCCAGTGTCTGTGATGTTGTAGTTATTCAATATCTGACAGGCTGACCTTCCTTCTTGCTGGTTCATCCTCAATCGCTGTGCCCATGCTCTTTTTATACATGAAAGTGACACTCTCCTAGGAAGCACGGGTTTATTTTCCAGCAGGGTCGGGAATTTGAGGCAACCCCCACCCCCGCCTCTTCTTCCTCCTCCTCCTCCCACTGACTAGGAAAAAACAGATGCTAGGGCATCCAGGTGACAACTGGGGACACTCAGCCCAGGCTCACTTTCCTCAGAGTTTCTGCAACTCAGGGAAGCCTGCCACAAGCTGTGTGGTCAGTGCAATGCACACCAAAAAGGAAGCACTGCTTCCTTGGGTCTGATGTCAGCCTTCCTTCGGAACTTGATCTGGAGCCCTGGGGCTTTGCCACTGTAATTGGTGGACTGAGTAAATGCAGACGGACCAGGTGGGTAGCGTGGGCGCCAGAGCACAGGTGGCCACTGGCCCCACCTGCATCTGCCACCAGCTGAAGTTTCCCCCAGAGTCATCTGCAGGCCCTCCAGATCCCATCTGTTTGCTACCGTCCAGGATGCAGGCTCCCGGGGCCCTGAGCACCGACTTTATATTGCAAAATGAGTGTCCTTACTGAGCAGACCCATGCAGCCTCTGTCACCTCCTCCCCTCTCATCCCTAACATTTTGCCCAAGCCTGTCTCCTTTTCCTGTTCCTTTCTGCCCTCTCCTCCAACTCTCACTCTGTCTCCAAAATGAAAATTCCTCTCTGGTCTGCTCTGGAACACTCCCAGTTTTTGTCATGCATGTTTTTGCTGGATCTTGGTTAAGGGTTCGGCAAGAAGGAAAAACTTTTCAGTGGCAAAGGCATAATCCTCCAACAAAAGCAATTTCCCTCTGTCTCTTTGGTTGTTAACCTGCAAAGAGACGTCCATTCCCTGGCAGAGTGAGATGAAGCCCCACGTGGTTTCCCTTCTGTTCCCCTTGACTGGGTTTCACTTCAATCAGGGTCCAGGGTTTGCTGAAGTTCAGTCCTGTCCATCAGAAGGCAGGAATTACATGATTGTTCATCAAAGTGCTTTGAAGTCAAATGGAATTTTCCTAAACTTGCAAGTGCGTTCCACTGACATCGTCCACTCTGATTGATGAACAAGAAGAGTATGTAGGACAGTGGAGAGTCCAAGGGTAATTCACAAGCTCATAAATTCTATCACCTGACATTTCTGAGTGCTGTGTTAGACACTTTCATGAATGAAAGAATTCATTTAATCTTCTCTCTACCCCAGGAGTTAGGAATTGTTAGAATTAGGTACCACTCTGATTTTATTGATGAGGATATTGAAACAATAAGGGATTAAGCAATTTGAATAGGAGACCAACCCTAGGAAGCAGCATTGTCAGGTTTAGAAGCCAAGCAGAATGTCCTCAGAGTCAGAACTTGTGGCCTCTGTACTAAACTGGGCTCTAAAATAGACTTTTTCAAGCTCAATAGTTGGGTCTTGGGGTTCCTGGTCACCCTGGGGACTATCAGGGGTTGGAAGGTATCTAGATCAGGGTTCATTTAGTTTCTCAGTCTCCACCCCTCTTCCCACCCCACCTGCCTTCCTTCTGCTTTTCTTTGTTATATACAGTGGACTGGAAGTCTTAACTTGAAAGGAGGGGTCTGAAAGGAGTACGTAACTCACCAGGCTGAGTCCCATTGGTCTGGGGCAAATTGGTTGGTGTCCAGCACCTGGCAGGAGATCTACCTTATGGCAACTGCCTAACAACTGTTTGTTGAATGAGCAAATGATGCTTCCCACTCCCTCTTTCCTCTTTGAAGATGAGGAAATGAGCACAGGGAAGGGAACTGTGTGACCCAGTTCTCCAGGGCCACAAGCCTGGCCTGGGAGTGACACTGACTTTGCCACTCATGGGGGAACTCAGAGTTCTTGAGGGTTGAAAACTGAAAACTCTGTTTTCTGAAAACCCTAAGAGCTGGACTATACAATTTCAGTTTCTACTGCAGATCTATGAGTCAACAGTAAGGATGCCAAAACTGGAAGCCAGTCATGCATCAGAAATGTCAATCACATCTCTTATCTTTGGCCAGGGAATCCTCCTCCCTCCATAGGGAGTGCACCTGGCATGTTGCTCCCTGTTATCCCTGGGAGCTCCTCTGGGGAAAAATTAATACCAAACCTGTCAAGGAAAGACACAGATGTGCATAAAGTGTGATTTTTTAAGCATATGTGGATCAGGATGCTGCCGAAGAATGGGACCCTTAAGAAGGTTTTGTCCACAGAAATTATGTCAAAGAAAGAATGACAGAGGTCAGAAAGTGACAAAGCACCTGCAGAAAGCTGCCCCTGCCCCTTGGTCAGAGGCAATAACAAATGCAGAGACATCCCTGGTCCAATCATATCCCTCAGGCTGATTCATAGTCATTAAAAGTCAAATATATCAACATGACCAGCAAGAGTGATAAGCAGCCCCTTTCAGAGGTATTAGGCTTCCCTTGTAGCTCAGTTGGTAAAGGATCTGCCTGCAGTGCAGGAGTCCACCTGCAATGCAGGAAACCCATGTCTCAGAGGCATCGAGACCCAGGTTGAACCAGGTTTCAATGGTTGGACTGGGGATGTCTCTGCATTTGTTATTGCCTCTGACCAAGGGCCTGGGGCAGCTTTCTGCAGCTGCTTTGTCACTTTCTAACCTCTGTCATTCTTTCTTTGACATAATCTCTGGGGATAAAATGTTCTTAAGGGTCCCATTCTTAGGCAGAATCCTTGATCCACGTATGCTTGAAAAAAATCACTGTTGATACACATCTGTAGCTTTCCTTGAGAGGTTTAGTATTAATTTTTCCCCGGGGATAACAGGTAGCAACATGCCAGGTATACTCCCTGTGGAGGGAGGAGGAGACCTGGGTCCCAAGGGCATTGAGATCATTTTTTAAATTATTTCTTTTACAGTATAATTTAAAGCAGAATTCTTCCTGTTTTTCTTCTGCCTGACACTGTGGTTGCTGTAACAAATTACCCCAAGTTGGGTGGCTTAAAACACAGAAATTTACTCTCTGCAAGTCCCAGAGGCCAAAAGTCCCAAATCAGTGTCACTGGGGCGAGATCAAGGCACCCGCAGGGCTACGCTCCCTCAGGAGGCTCTGGGGAGGATGGGCTCCTTGCCTCTCCAGTTCCTGGGGTTCACTGGCAGTCCTTGGCTTGTGGTTACAGCTCTCTCCTCTCTGCCTCCATGATCATACTGCCTCCTAATCCTCTATGTGTCAAATCTCGCTCTGCCTCCCTTGTAGATGAATGCTTATGAGTTCATTGAGACCACCCAGATAATCCACGATAGTATCATCTCAGGATTCTTTTTTTAACCATGTCTTTTGGCATGTAAGGTAATACTCTCAGGCTGTGGGGCTCAGGACTTGATATCTTTGGGGGACATTTTTCAGCTCTGACAGCTTCCATGGGCCAAGAACAAACCAGTAGGTGTCAGGCCAATGTAGGACTCAGAAAGCATCCAAAAAAGGCGAATAGCATCACCCACCTCGATATCCAGAGACGGATGCTGTAGAGACCAGAGAGATGCTGTAGACCCCAGAGAGGCGGGTGCTGCAGACACTGCCCGCTCCCTCCCACCCCGGTGGAGGAGAGAGGACCTTCCCATCTTCAAGGCCCTGGAAGGTGCTGCCAGAATAGAACGGAGCATGGTGACAGAGTTTTTAATGTGACTGCATCCACCTGGAGTGTGTGCGGAACACAGACACTGGCCCCTTATACCTGCCTGGGAAACCTTAGGGCAGAAGTTGTGACTACAGGCTTGGATGGGAAGAACTGAGGGAAAAGGAAGTGGGTCTGGGCTGAGTGGGGAAGTGCTGCTCACAGGTCATGAAAGATCCCCTTTCCACCATAGGGCATCCTGGAGGAGCACGGCCATTCCATAGAAGGATCGCCATGCAG